GAATGTTATGTTTAAAAGAATGACAGACTATTATAAAATAATTCCATTATATTTTTAAATAACATGTACACACATGCAAGCATCCTTGTGAGATGGACAATACTAACAAATATTAATAAAATTCTCTGAGTTAGAAGATAATGAGTAACTGTGATTCCTATTTCTTGTATTTTCTACATTTTTCATAGTAAGTATATATTTACTTTTAGAAATTAAAAGTAATATTTTAAAAAGTAAATCTCTGGGGCACCTGGGTGGCTCAATTGGTTGGGCATCTGATTCTTGATTTTAACTTTGGTCATGATCGCAGGGTTGTAAGATCGAGCCCCACTTTGGGCTCCGTGCTCAGTGGGGAGTGTGCTTGAGATTCTCTCTCTTTCCTTCTGCCCCTCTCACACCTCTTTCTCTCTCTCAAATAAATAAATCTTTAAAAAACTAAAAAATGAAAAAGGTAAATCTAGCAAAACTCACACAAGAAGATATAGATTATCTGAATAGCCCTATATCTATCAAAGGAGTGGAGCCAGTAATAAATAACTTCTCAGAACAGAAGCAACAGGCCCACATGAGTTTACTGGTGAATTCTACCAAACATTTAAGGAAGAAATCATAACAAATCTCTACAATCTCTTCAAGAAAGTAGAAGCAGAGAGAATACTTCTTAACTCACTCTCTGAGCCCAGCATTTCTCTAATATCCAAACCAGCCAAAGAAATTTCAAGAATTGTAAACTACAAACTGATATTTCTCATGCATTAGATGTAAAAATTCTCAACAAATATTAGCAAATCAAATCCAGCAATGTATAAAAAGAGTTATAAACTATGATCAAGTGGGGTTTGTCCCAGGCAAACAAGGCTGGTTTAACATTTAAAAATTAACATTTAAAATTTTAATCAATGTAATCCATCACATCATCAGGCTAAAGAGGAATGATCATATGATCATATCAATAGATGCAGTAAAAGCATTTATCAAAATCCAATACCCATTTATGGTAATGACCCTTAAAAAGCTAGATTAGAGGGGAACTTCTGAATCTGATAAAGAACATCTACAAAAAAATTACAGCTACTACTATACTGGTAAGAAATATTATAAATAGTATATTATAAATATTATAATGGTGAGAAAATCGAAGCTTTACTAAGATCAGGAAAAAGCCACGATTGTTCCCTCTCACCACTCTTACTCAGCTTCATACTGGAAGTCCTAACTAATGCAACAAGACAAGAAAAGGAAGTTATAGACATACAGATTGGGATGGAAGAAATAGAACTGTTCTAGTTCATAGATGACGTAATTGGATATGTAGATAAATCCAAAATACTGACAACACCAAATGCTGACAAGGATCTGGAGCAATGAGAATGATCATTCACCGCTGGTGGGAATGCAAAACAGTACAGTTACTTTGAAACACAGTTTGGAAGTCTCTCACAAAATGAAACATATTCTTTACATAGGATCCAGTAATCATGCTCATAGGACTTAAGAACTTATGTCCACACAAAAACCTACTCATGGATATTTACAGCAGTTTTATTCATAATTGCCAAAACTTGGGAAAAAACATGATGTCCTTCAGTAGATGAATGGGTAAATTCAGGCAATGAACTATTACTCATTGCTAGCTATCAAACCATGAAAAGCCATGGAGAAAACTTAAATGTATATTGCAAAGTGCAAGAAGCACTTTTTGGAAAAGCTACATATCATATGATTTCACCTATATGAAATTCTAGAAAAGGCAAAACTAAGGAGGCAGGAAAAGGTCAATAGTTGTCAGGGATTGGGAGAAGGAAGTGATGAATAGGCACATCACAAAGGATATTTAGGATAGTGAGACTATTCTGTATGATGCTATAGGGTGGGTATATTCTATTATAAATTTGTCTGAACCCACAGAATGTACAACACCCAAGAGTGAACCCCCATGAAACCCATAGACTTTGGATGATTATGTTATGTCAATGTAGGTTCATCAGTTGTAACAAATGTACACTCTGGTGGGGGATGTTGACAACGGAGGAGGTTATGCATAGGTGGGATGGGGGAAATAGGGATACTTTGTATTTTCTGCTCATTTGTGAAGTGAACCTAAAACTACTCTAAAAAATGAAGTCTATTAAAAAATGTTTAGTGAGATTTTCAAAGTTGTGACTCTCATCATTGGATGAAAAGTTAGTATTTACATTATTCCCTTCAAGTTGTATTTTCATTTATATGCTCATCATCGTGTATATCTGATAATTTTTGTATCTCACTATTTTTCCCATTTTTCACCATTCTGATGTGGAACATCTCAGATCTTACCCTGATAATTTCACTAATGGTAAAGCAACCGGCAAACTGGTAAGGGCCCCTTGTAGAAAATTTTATATTTGGTTACTTATTGTTTCTTAAACTAATATAGTTATTGCATTCAGATAAAGAGTCCTCAACTCCCTGGAAAAAAAACCAAAACTGATTAACAAAACTTATAACTACATTTTAAAAAGTAAATCTCTAATTTTGACTCTAGTTTTATTTTGTTCTACTTTCACAAAACCCTAAACTGACTAAGTTCTACTTGATGTCTGATCTAGATCCGTTAATTAATTAGATGTCTAGGCAAAACATCGCAATGTTTTAGCTTTATACAGTTTACTAAATGGTTCCTAAATAGTCTCCAATAGCTCAAAGCAGTCATAGCACTAATTGCCTAATTCTCTCACGGAGAACTTCATGCTGGACCTCAAAGTCCACAAAAGGCATATTCAATATCATACCTTAAAATCACATGATCAGGCAAACTACTGAATGCTTTTTCCTGGTAGGCTGACAAACCAAAAATTACAAAGTTATAAAATTAAGACTCGTGGCCAGAATTTGCAACTGGAATTCACTGATGTGGATTGTCATTCTCTCTATAAAACACACCTGTTTGAGTGTTGCAGCTGTTTTTAGGTATTCCATGGACAACTCCAAGATCAAGAGTTGCAGGCTGTACTGACTGAGCCTGCCAGGTTCCCCAAGGGCAGAAAATTTCTAAAGAAATGTTTTATGAAACATATACAAAATACCGAAACAGAAACTGCTCGTTTTATATCTTTCAAAGCGGTTCAATCTTATAAGGGGAAGAAATCATAAACATTCAGGTTATTCACCAGTATATGTGCTGAATCAAATTTCTTTGCTAAATATTACATGAAGTATAATTTGTATTGTGAATTTCACTGAATTGTGAACTTTGGGGCACCTGAGTGGCTCAGGTGATTAAGTGGCTGCCTTCAGCTCAGGTCATGATCCCAGGGTCTTGGGATCCAGTGCAGCATCAGGCTCTCTGCTCAGTGGGGAGCCTGCTTCTCCCTCTCCCTCTGCTGTTCTGCCTGCTTGTGCTCTCTCTCTCTGTCAAATAAATAAATAAAATCTTTAATAATTAATTAATTAATTGTGAATTTTAACTGCTAGTACTTATCACGATTCCACTTTTGGTTTTTAGACAAGAACTGTACAGTAAGAAAAAATTTTTAAAAGATTTTATTTATTTATTTGACAGAGATCACAAGTAGGCAGAGAGGCAGGCAGAGAGAAAGGAAGGGAAGCAGGCTCCACGCTGAGCAGAGAGCCCGACGCGGGGCTCAATCCCAGGACTCCGGGACCATGACCTGAGCCGAAGGCAGAGGCCTTAACCCATTGAGCCACACAGGTGCCCCGAAAATTTTTACTGTTTACATGTTTACTGCATGTTTACTGTGACTTACATGTATTTTTAAATGTTACAAGTATCTCAAAATTTATTTTTTCTCCTATATAATCATAATGCCAGTATAAGGACACTCAATTTAAAGTGAGGTCAGTACTACCACTACCATTACAATCTGAAATCATCGGGCAAAAAATATTCCTTTGCTTTAATATAAAGCCTTCACTTACTTGTTTTTGCAACTAAGCATTTGATATGAGATCTCTTCCACACGGAAAGTATTAGGATCACAAAGGCAAGAGCTGAGAGTTTTGATGGTCTTCAGAACTTACCTACTGTCATGAAAAAACAAACAAACAAAAACCAAGAATCTGCCAAGTCATGATTCAGACCAAAGTCCCAAATTACTGCCAAGGTGCAGGTACTAACTCTCCCTAGTTAGGACTGCCTGGATGCCTCCCTTTCATGTTTCATCTTCTGTGAGCAACGTATCAGCAAGCCATGCTGGCCCTGCCCTTCGTTTTCAAATCCCTTTACTTCCTTCCATATCTGCTGTCATTATTTTAATCTAATGAATGGGCAGGTCCCAAAACATATGGCGTATACAAGTGGCATTGTTTTTATATACATTAGGATGAGTGCTTAGGTATTTTGCTAAGAAGTTTCCATTTTGAAGGAAAAAGTAGTGTCTTTTCACTGGGTCTTTTAAATGTTTGTAAAGTATGTTATGGTGTAAAGAAGATCAGATGTTTTCCATAAGGGTATATAAAAGTAATGAAATCTAAATTAATAGGAACATAGTCGTTCCCCCTTTTGTTGCTGATTGTAGCCAAGGCTCATGGTCTCCTTAAAAAATGGATACGCTAGGACACACATTTCCTTCACAGGATTATTGTGAAAATCAAATAAAAGTAATGTGACACTGGAAACCAATTCACTAATGTAAACAATCATTTACTGAGCATTCACTGCATGATATGCTTACCACTCTCCTAGGTACTGAGCATGCAGTGGTGAAGAAGGATGACTTCCCTGACTTCTTGGACAGGGACCATAGGGTAGAGGAGACCGAAAATAAATGAATACCAACAAAGACGCGCGTACACGCACTCACACACACACCTTCACAGAGGAATACATGGGACAGTAGGTTCTTGAGTTCTACTGATAGAGGCAAAGGGAGCAGCAATATGCAGTTCTGGAAAATGGGGTTCCAGGCAGATGAACTCCGTCATGGGGCTGAGAACGAAAAGCAGCCAGGATGGCTGGAGCAGGGAGGACAGAGCAGAGGAAGGAATCCGATGAGGCGGAAGAGGTGGGCAGGAGCCGAGTCACCTGTTGGAGGCTACCGCAAGAGTTTGAACTTTATTTTGATTGGAATGGGAAACTGCAGTGGTTGGGAGTCTTATGCAACTAAAAAAAAAAAAAAAAAAAAAAAGACTCCAGTCAACTGAAGAAAAGGAATTGACTGAAAAGAAGTTGGAAAACTTCCAGGGGGTACCTGGGTGTCTCAGTGGGTTAAAGCCTCTGCCTTCGGCTCAGGTCATGATCCCAGGGTCCTAGGATGGAGCCCCTCATCAGGCTCTCTGCTCAGCGGGGAGCCTGCTTCCCTACCTCTCTCTCTGCCTGCCTCTCTGCCTACTTGTGATCTCTGTCTGTCAAATAAATAAATAAACTCTTTAAAATAGAAAAAGAAAAAAAAAAAAAGAAAGAAAACTCCCAGGACCACCAAGAAGCCAGATGAGTCAGGTTTGGAAAATGGGCAGCTGCTCCGTGAGGCAGGCAGGCGGGCAGAGTAGGCAGGACCCTCTCCCAGCACTGGTGTGGGGGACCACGGCTGCAGCTGCCAGAGTGGACCCAGCAGGCCTGCCTCCACACCACCTGCAGCCCCAGACCGGTGTCCACTGGTGTCCTCTAGCCCCTTTGGTAGCCTGGCATGGAGGGAAATAGAGAAAGAGGCTGCAAGCATAGGACTGCCAAAAATGTAGTGTCTGCACGAATGTACCCCTGGGGCATTTTAAGCGTTGACCCCAACTTCACTAGGCCCGCATTACTCACTAACCCCCTGAGTTAATTATCCACTTCATATTCTTCCTTCTGAACAAGAAAGAAAACAGCTCTGGGTGTTCTTGTTCATACCCATGTCACAAATATCACACAGTTGGTTATAACATTGTCTTACTCCAAGACTAAATGTTAGGACATACTACAAAATATGAGATGTCCCGGATTGAGGCATAACACTCAAAATAGAAGCATTTGCTTACCTATTGCAATGGTAATGTTCTCTGTTAAAGGAAGTCATGGTGGAAGGAGCAAATTTTTCCCCTCACTGAGAATCCTTCTCATGGGGGGTGTGACTCACATTCTTGGCAACTGATTCAAGCTCCTGAGAATATATATTTTAGTCAGTTTCTTTCAAAATCCTAAATTCTGAACAAGGAAAAGAGAGAAAAGGCAAATGAGTAGGCTTGTCTTGTATGCAGAAGGCATTTCAAAATGGCTGGCCAAAAGAGAAGACAGGAATGAGTGTGTACATACGGCTTTGCCAAGGGAAAGTCACTGCCTTTCAGGAACAAGGATCAGCCGTAATCCCGGGCTTCCGAAAGGAGGCAAGCAGGGAGTCCGTGACAGGCCAGGTGAAGAAAACTTTCCCTGGCATCCATCCAGGATGATACCATTGTGGGTCAGGAAATAGCAGGATGTTTCTGGCTGTGCTGTAACAGTAGAGTAGTACCAGGAAAACAATTGAGACATCTGGATCATTTCAACAATGGTGATGGGCGTGTTACGTGGAGGTGGTATTTTTTTTAAACCTCCAGATTGGAAGTTTCCAATCCTGGCTACACATTAGAGTCACTTGGGAAACTTAAACACACACACACACACACACACACACACACGTGCACACACACGTACACACACTGAAATAAAAATCTCCAGGGAAAGTCCTGGGTCTCAGCACCTCTAAGAGCTCCCAAGGGATTGCTATGTGCAGCCAGGACTGAGAATCACTACTCAAGCTTCATGCTTCTGACTTGGGAAGCAGGAGAGTTGGAATTCAAGAGGCTGGAGAATTTCTTTGCAAGGCGACCAGTGTCTCAGGTGCCTCTTCTTCATTATTTCTACAGTTCTAAGTTCAGAGAACTTCTAAGACATAGTCCCAGGTCTAATTTTTGCTTCATCTACTTTGGTAGACAAGATAACTTGCCTCTGTTTTTGTTGTTGTTGTTGTTGTTCTTTACAGACTTACATTTTAATTGTCTATGCTTAAAAAGAAAAAATGGCTAAGTCTTGAGCATTTATAATGGTATATTTGTCTTTATATCCATCATCTTTAGAAGTTTAATAGCCATCTGGTTTGTAAGTCAGCCTAATTTTATTCTCTGCTAAGGTATAAAAGTATGAAACTGTAAATTTATAATATCTACTGAGGATATGGGTTGGGTGAGATTGGGTAGCAACCGGAACCCTACAGTGGACTACTTGTCATTCTTCAGGACAAAGGGAACTTCCTGTTTTGTACTCAGACACATGCCCTGGGGCTTACAGGGAGGCTGGGCCAGTCTGGGATGACTCTAGGGCCTGTACTGTCCCCATCTGCTTCTGACAACACAAGCTGCCACTCTGGACAGAGCCCATGCCCACTCTGGGTAAGCGGAGAGCTCTTGGGACCTGGACAGACACATGGTCAGTGAGTCCTGTGGACTTTTCAAAAGTTATAAACTCTCAAAACCTTGGTTTCCCAGCTAGAAGGAAAACAAAAGCCTCTCGGAGGGCAACACGGCTCCCCACCCCCGCCAGTGTTAGCAGTAAATATACCTAAGGCTTCTAGAAAGTTCACTTCCAGGGAGTATGTCTTAGTAGGTTTGTGTGGGGCTCAAGGAGCTCCCTGGTTAACCTGAAGCAGTTGGCCTTTGGGTCAGTCATTGAGAAACAGTGGTCATGGGCCAGGCAGGAGCTTTCCACAGGAAGAGTCTAATTAAGAGAGCTGAATTCCTGATTACAAAAAAGGTTATTTTTATGGGGTATGCTAGCCGTAGAGAAGCTTTCTCTCCCTCTTTTTATCTTCAACCCTTGTTTATCACCATCACCTTCCATGGAAGCCTGGAAACCATACATCCCAGAAACCCTAGCCTTCTGCATTCTAGGGTTTATAATCTCCCACAACAGGCACTTATGCACTACTTGAAAGGCAAAGGGACCCAGAAGCAGTGGGCTGATGTGTGGATCCTGACAGCCAAGGTTCTGCATGGCCACCAGGCTCCTTAGGGAGGCCCCCTCCTGCTGCGGCTAGGTCTCCAACCTCACCTTAGGTGGAGCTCCCTAATCAGGAAACAAACAGCAACAGATTCCCAAGTCTCTGCCCCACCATTGGCAGGATGAATCTGAAAACGAATGTCTGTTTCCCTTGACTTTTGCTCTCTTAGAATTTCCATCAGCTTTTTTAGTATGTGATTCCATAAATTAAATCCCTTTCTGCTTAAAATACCTGTGATGGGGGCGCCTGGGTAGCTCAGTTGATTAAACATCAGACTCTTGATTTTGGCTTGGGTCACAATCTCAGGTTGTGAGATGGAGCCCCGCATTGGACTCCATGCTCGGTAGAGAGTCTGCTTGAGATTCTCTCCCTCTGCCTCTCCTCTGCTCCCACCAACCCCCTCCTCCCCCCTGCTGCTGGTATGTGCTCACTCTCTCCAAAAGAAATAAATAAATCTTTCCAAAAAATAATCTGAAATAGTTTCTGTTTTTTCAATAAAACACTGACTGATGAAGTATTTGGTGCCAGACGTGGCTCCAGGAAATGACCCTCAAGGGTGGGGATCTGGTAGTCATTGTCCAAGCTAAGTGGGTTGGAAGGTGGTAATGGCCTCATTTCAGTGGTCACGGGTACTCTGTACCTGCAGGGGGTAATTCAGCCAATATCCGTGGGTGTCAGGCATGAAGGTAATGTTTTGAGTGCCAGTGGCCCCTGAGAGAGGCACAGTGGTGGGAATGGTGCTTTACAAGGGCTGCAGAGTGGCTGCGTGGAATGCTTATAAAAAAGAAAACTTCAGGGATGTCTGGGTGGCTCAGTCAGTTAAGTGCCTGCCTTCAGCTCAGGTCATTATGCAGGGTCCTGGAATCGAGTCCCACATTAGGCTCCTTGCTCAGCAAGGAACCTGCTTCTCCCTCTCCCTCTGCTGTTCCCCCTGCTTGTGCTCACTCTCTCACTATCTCTCTGTGTCAAATAAATATAGAAAATCTTTTTTAAAAAAGAAAAAAACTTCAGGGGTTCTGAGGTGGTTCAGTCAGTCAGGTGACTCTTGATTTCGGCTCAGGTCATGGTCTCGGTTGTGGGATAGAACACCACATCAGGTTCTGTGCTCGGGGGGGAGTCTGCTTGAGATTTCCTTTCTCTCTCTCCCCACTTTCTCTCTCTTTTTCTGAAATAAACAAATGAAACTTCAAATCTCATGCTCAGGACTTGTCATTTTCAACTGAAGTCACAGTCAGGAAACCAGAGATTTTCAATAACCACATCTAACAGAAACTTGTTTTTTATGGCTGCAGGACCAGTAAACTACCCCCAAAAGGCCCAAAGGTCAAACCTGTGGATTTCAGAATTACAACACACATTGAATCCGTAGCCATGGTCTATAAATTTGGGGGACTTGATGGCCAAAGGGAAGTACCCTGTGCATTGTACTGAGGGCCTTTGGGTGCATTTGGATGGATGTGAATGCTCTGAACCTATCAGCCCCACTGATTACTTCTTGCCAGGAGAAGCAGCCTTTCTTATATGTCTGAGGAGACTCACTCCGCCTTGCTTGATGCCCTGAATAATCTCTTCTTGAGCTAATAAATTTTAAGGGAGTGTAGATTCTCCTCGAGATCTAACCCATCTCATTTTTTCCAGACTGTAATCAAAGTCAGCAGCCCCAGGGATCAGGTTCAAATCTGACCCAGGTTCAAATCTCTAGAAAAGAGACCTAGTCACTGAGGGGACTGCAAGATGGTGGTGGGAACCTGGTACCATTTACAACCTCCCAAGTCTTTCCAGAGAACATCTCCAACACTCCCGTGAGGAGGTCTGCTTGTCCAAGCATCACCAATAATCCTGACTGACTGTAGGCCAATGTATAGGAAGGTTCCAGGCCAACGTGCATCCTGCCCCAGCCCCCCAAGTGTCACACCATAGTATAAGGGAATCCAGTCCCTCTTGTGTGCCAGTCATCCCCTCATACTTGGAACACGCCCTTCATTTTTACTTCTTATCCCCCATCCCCTGCTCACCGTTGAATTAAAAATGAGTCCACGGCCATTGAGCTAAGAGTTAGCTGGGAGAGAGGGAACAACTGCTTGCTCTGGTGTCAATCTCACTCTCCTTAGGCGACCCAGACTTCCTTTAGTATTTCCTCAAACCTAAGACTTACCAGGTGTGAGCCACATTGTTATTCTATGGGCCACTAACAGGGAAAACATTGCCAACTGTAATTGTAAGATGTCAGCAATTGTAAGATACATCCTGATCCAGAGTGTTAAAATGAAAGAAAAGAAATATGCCTTAGAATGGGTGAAAAATAGTAAATCAAGCTCCTTGGACCTGGCTCCTCTCCTCAGAATTCCTTGTTTTGTTTTAAAGTTGTATCTATTTAAATAATCTCTATGCCCAATGTGAAGCTCAAAATCACAACCCTGAGATCAAGAGTTGCACGCTCCACTGACTGAGCCAGCCAGGCACCCCCAGATTTCGTTCTTTCGAAGGAAGTTCCCTCTCTCTCATACATATCATCCAGCACATTTTTCTGGGTCAGAAGACATGCCCAGACATAGCAGATTTCAGCTTCTACCAACTGGGAGCCCTGATTTCAAAGGATTTTTTAAAGATACAGGAAAACGTTTATGGTCATGATAAGCTGGGAAAGTCTATAATGTAGTATGCAAAATATATAATAAGTTTAAGACACAATAGTGTAAGAAAACGCATAAAGGAAACTGGAGACAAGTATTCTAAGAAAATACTTAAAGCATATTGACAAAGGGCTAATAACTATGTGAAGAACTCATAAAAAAAGACAAAAATTCTGATAGAAAAAGAAAACACAAATTAAATTTATCAATGAACATTTATTGTGTTTCAGGCTCTGTACAGGCTGAGTGTTCAATAAACCAGAAAAAAAAATCTGTTCCAGTCACTTTTATGGTCTTTTGAAGGAAGAAATGGTAACAAACAAGTAAATATATGGGCAGACCTCCGAGATATTACAGGTTCAGTTCCAGACCACTATAATAAAGCACATATCAATTGAGTCAAAAATTTTTTTGGCTTCCCAGTGCATATAAAAGTTATGTTTATATTATACTGTAGTCTGTTAAGTGTTCAATAGCATTATGTCTAAAAAATTA